AAGTAAAAAAGATTAAATAAAATCAAGTGAGTATTTTAAGCGGGCATTGGTTTCATGTATTATGTTTACATTTTATCGTATGGAGAAATTTTGTTAGGTAGTTTATTTAAAAAAAAATAAAGTTAGATTGGGTTTTAGGGTTTAAAATTTTTGTATATAAAGGAGAAACTTTAAGAATACTTTATAAGGGTTTAGTTATTCAGTATTTTTTTTGGGTTTTGGTAGTAAATGATCTTTGAGAAAACTTTAAATTTTTAAACAGGTAGTGTTTTTTTTTATATTACAGGTAAAGAATTCCCCGATTTTAGGGGCCTTTTTTTTGCATTGGGCTAGTTAGGTGGACACAGGAACATCAAAGAGTGATCTGGCCCTTTTTTATGGTCATGTGTTTTTGTTGAGGGTTTGGGAAGGGGGTGTTTGGGGGAGGGTTAATACGAGTTAAAAGTTTAAAAAAAAAAGGTGCAGTAATAATATGGATTTTTGTATGTGGTAGGTTTAGGTTTGAAAATTGGTGGGTTGCTGCCTGTAGTGAGAAAAAATTTTTTATCATTTAATGCAGCTTTTTTGGGAATTAGTGGTTGAGAGGTTAATTTTTGTTGAGCCCCATCACAAACCATAGGGAGATAGGGGGAAATAATGATGAATAGGGGCCCGGAGGGGGATGGGAGCATAGTAACCCCTTCTTCGATTTTGCCTACAGTCTTGGAAATTTTTTTTGAAATTTGTTGTATATTTGTAAATGAAATTTGAGTCTATTATCAAGGTGGATTCCTAAGAAATTTCCCCTTCGCTTAGCTTGAGTGATCAGCTGAATCGTTATATCATTATCTAATAGAGCGGACTTCTGTAGCTCTTGTTACCAAACTGACATGCGAGTAGGTTTTTGTCAATGTTAGTGTAGTTTGTTAGTCCCTCATCCAGGTAGATATTTTTCTGTAATTCGGTATTTACCAGTATTGGCTACGTGAACGGCTCAGCAGTCGTGGAGACAAGAACGTATGTACGTCTCTGTACATCTTGCAAATAGTGTGGGTCTTGAGAAAAATAGCGAATCATTTGTAGGATCATTCTATGAATAGGATAAAGAGAAGAGGCAAGGCATCTTCCCTGTGGGAAACCAACTGTAATTTTTGTGCAAAGAGTTAGCCCCATTGTTGCGTAACACAGTATTGCTTCTGTTGCTGAGGTATGACTTGCAGGTAGTTGAGAGGATATAAATAAACCATAATTTACAACCTAGAAGATATATGATCACGTTGACCCAGATCCTAAACTACATACTCTGACACAAAAATGGATCGCGATAATAAGCCACGCCCTTACAAACTACAATCAAAACTATTGGAAGTAACCTGCGCCTTATCTACACACAGCATCACAAGCCAGCACTATCCTATAACAATAGAGAAACCAAGTCTATCAGATACTTAACTACAACATCAGTCCTTAACAAACACTATGGATGACCTTGGCAACTCCTTGAAATCACTAAAGACACCCTTCTCCTGCATATTCTTACTCGAGACCTGGTAAAACAGGAAGACACACAAAGATATCTACCCTCTACAGGATCACACAGCAATCCACAACAACATGAGCAGACCATACCTAAGTTGGGGTGGTATACTTGCAATCTATTACTCTAACCAATTATCTGTATCAGCACCAATTGCTTTAGTGATAATATGGAGAATACATTTTTGAGCTAAGATTGTAGTAGAACCTTTAGGGTGGGACGTGGGGCCTAGGTAACATATGTGGTGCCGATTTACCGGGATACTCCCACACTAACATCCCAAACCTTCAGTGAGAAATTATAGAGCAACTAATACACAAACAGACAATGAATAAACACCAACTTCTCTAGCTGGCAGAACTCAACACAACCTTGAGCTACTAGATGATCAGTCCTGTAAACTGATTTATCAACACATATGATACAACACACTTCTCATACCAACAATTACTAAACCAACTCAGCTCACTGAAACAAGTGCAAACCATAAATAGACCCACATAAGGAACCATTATACTATAGCCCCCCTTAAATCAGGGATAATCACAGATAGTCACTACAGACCAGTACCCTACCTTCCTCTTGACAAACATAGTAAACCACCACTTGAATACAACAAAGTCTCATTTAGACTCCATGGAAGAGGCCCTCATAAGAAGTTCACAGCTGACCTAGAGACTGTTTGACTGGCCTACAGAATTCTCCAAGGCAAATGGTATAACGAATGGACAGAATAATTTTTTCTTAACAAACTACTTAGAACAATACAACAAACATTGTCCTATAAAAAACGAAACAAGATCACAAACAAACAGCTGGTTGCCCATGGGCTAACCATCACCATTCTGAAATCCACTGATAAGAACTCCAACATGAAAAGCAAGATAGACAGGGCTTAATACACAAAGATATCTTAAACACTATCACAGTCCTCACCAAAGGGGAAGAAATGAAAGCCAAACAACTATACTACTTCCAGTAGATTCACCGACACAAGAGGAGATATAAAAAAGACTGGAAAACACTCTCATCAGATTCCTAGGACCCCACAAACTGAAAAATAAACAAGAATATTGTCCTAACTAAACCTAATGAAACACCACTGCAAACCACCGACACAGCTAACAAGATAAACGAATGTTTCTCAACCATAGGTTCTAATCTCGCCAATAAATCCCACGTACCAATGCCCTGCCGGGGACTACTTAGAAGGGAATTTCCCAAATCCTTCTTTCTTGCTCTCAACTAGCCCACGGAAGTCACCGAGATATAAAGTCACTTAAAAAAAACTCAGGAATCTGTCTCATGTCCCACCATGATTGTACAAGAGAGTGGCCCATGTCCTCTCACATACTATCTCATTGCTTTTTAACAAGTCACTAGAAGCTAGCACCTTCCCGAAACTACTCAAGACGGCAAGGGTTACACCAATACATAAAGGTGTGACTCTACAAGATTTAAACAACTATAAGGCCAATATCAAACTTACCATTGCTATCCAAAATCTTTGAGAAACTCGTGCACAGGAGACTATACAGTGGACCCCCGCATAACGATTACCTATGAATGCGACCAATTATGTAAGTGTATTTATGTAAGTGCGTTTGTACGTGTATGTTTGGGGGTCTGAAAGGACTAATCTACTTCACAATATTTCTTATGGGAACAAATTCAGTCATACTGCACCTGAAAACTTACTTCTGGAGTGAAAAATAATCGTTAACTCGGGGTCCACTGTATTCATTTATAACGTCACAAAACATACTCAACCCCTGCCAATTTGGATTCAGAAAATAAAAGCCTAAAAACGATGCAATTATAAAAATGCTAGATCTGCATACACAGCCATGAAAATACGAATATCCACTAGTAAATTTTTATTGATCAAAGAAAACTTTTGACACAGTAACCATGGCATCACTACTCCACTAACTTGACCATTAGGTTTAAGAGGCCATGCCTTTGCATATTTCAAATCTTACCTACAAAGTATCAGTATGTCACCATTAAGACCAGCATCAACAACACAGGCCACTTGATTACTGGAATTACGCAGGGAAGTGTCCTTGGTCCCCTGCTCTTCTCATATACATCAATGAACTTCATTTCACACGTATCTCGACACCTGAACCCTCATTCTCTTTTGCTGACGAACGACTTAATCATCTCTTCACCTAATCTTGCAAACCCACAACAAACCATTGTTAATGAGAGCTGATCAAAATATCGACTTGGAATGACAGCCAATAAACTTACGCTGAACGATTGACCAAAACCTACTACATATGTTTGGTAGTCAGAGCAGAGATGCGCAAATAAACATTAAATGATCGAACAACACTCTAATTATCAGGCATAAAGAGGGCAAATTCCTAGCCTATACCTCGACAACAACCTGAACATCAGCACGCCATATCAACACATAACCAAAAAAGTATCCAAAACGGTTGGATCCATTTCCCAAGATACGATACTACGTGCCGCAAACTGCCCTTCTCACACTATACCATTCACTAATATATCCATACCTCACCTATGCTATCTGTGCTTGGTTTCAACTGTGCAGCAACACACCTAAAGCCAATAATAACCTAACAAAAAGCCTGCAGTAAGAATAATCACTAAATCCCCATCCTGGCAACACCCCCCCCCCACTCTTTATAGATCTAAACTTACTCCCTGTTTCAGTACATCCACACTTACTAGTGCAATCTACATCTACAGGACCTTAATACCAATATACACTGACCAAAACGCTTTCTTAGATAGTTGTGAACAGAACCCACAGGCCAACATCCAGAAACAAAATCTCTATGACATTCCCCGTGTCCATCTAAACCTTTACAAAAATTCAATGTATGATCAAAGAGCCCTAAAATCTGAGAACACCCTACCTGAAAATCCAAAACTGCAGACACCATTCATCCTCCTCAAAACTACCATCAAAAAACATCATATCTCCCTGAACACCTTTCAACTAATTAATACTAATACCACCTGGTGGGTTCACACTTACACTCACACACCCATTTTACCATAAACAGAAATATCAATCTCATTCTCAAAATAATGAATCCTTAACTAGTCATAAAGTTGGCCTGTGTACTCCAATACTGAAACTACGTATAGTGCCAAAACAAAAGCATTCACATTGCTAAACTCACAACTAGTATTTAGTCACTTAGCCATAATACCAACTTATCTCATAATTTTGTAACATTTTAAACCTAAGATTAATATAAAGTCCTTGCCCGAAATGCCTAGCCATCTAGGCGTATAGTGGTACACTCTGTAATTATTATTTTACTACATGTAAACCACACAATAACCAAATTCTGTAAACTCAGCATTGTAATACTTATGGAGAATAAAGTTTGAATTTGAATTTGAATCTGTGATTATCCCTGACTTAAGTGGGGCTAGTATATTGGACCATATATGGTCAATTATGGTTGCACCTGTCTCAGTCAGCCTGGTTGGTTTAGGTATTGTTGGCATGAGAAGTGTGTTGTTCATATTGTTGATGAAATCAGTTACAGGCTGATCATCTGGTAGGCCAAGGTTAATATCAAGGTATTAACAATTAAGGTAGTGTTCTTGGAGGGTATTAACAATGAAGGTAGTGTTCTTGGAGGGTACTAACAATGAATGTAGTGTTCTTGGAGGGTATTAACAATCAAGGTAGTGTTCTTGAAGGGTGCTAACAATCAAGGCAGTGTTCTTGGAGGGTACTAACAATCAAGGTAGTATTCTTGGAGGGTGGTAACAATCAAGGTAGTGTTCTTGGAGTGTATTAACAATCAAGGTAGTGTTCTTGAAGGGTGCTAACAATAAAGGTAGTGTTCTTGCAGGGTGCTAACAATCAAGGTAGTGTTCCTAGAGGGTATTAAAAGTGTATTATATACCTTATCAACTTTCTTGGAGAGGTTCTTGGTGAAAGACATCAGATCCTTCTTAAACTCCTCTGAAAACACCTTAAAAGCATCCTCAGCCAGGTATTGCTCAGTAAGTTGAAGGATCTGGCCGCCAGAGAGAGGTTCTTCCTCCTGGACCAGGTCCTTGGCACGGATGTGGTCCAGCACACGCTGCAGGTCCACTGGTCCAGTGCTGCCTTCCAGCTGTGTTGGATCCAGTCCATCACCACCATACCTAATCTGTTGACAAATGTTACTGTTTTTGGTGATGTTGTTATTAAGTTCTCGGGGAGCACTAAACCAGCAGGGGATCTTGCAGCACCTAGGGAGAGGGAGTTAATCAGGCTTGATCCAAGAAACAGAAATATATTTCCAACTCAGTGGATGAAGAGCTTGACACTAGTATTAATGTATACACCTTCACAGGGAAGGTATAAATGCCAGTAGTGAGACGAAGAGATTGTTAACAGTGTAAGTTATGTCAGCACCCGACATAACTAACTACAGTGGAACATCTACTTGCGAGCGCATCCACGTGTGAGTTTTTCCAAATATGAGAAGTCGATGAGCTGATTTTTTGCTTCCATACGCGAGCAAAATTTCCATAAGCGAGCAGACCTGAAGGGAGGTTCCTCAATGCTGGTGAGGGGCTCTTGCTCTTGATCTAGGGAATTGTATCTCATTTGTTTGTTGGACTATTTTATTGAAATTTGGGATATGTATGATGGAAAGATGCTTCTTAACCCTTTCAGGGTAAGTCCCGTAGATTTACGGCTTTACGTTCAGGGTCCAAACCATAGATCTATGCAATGAGCTCAGCTCACTCTGATAAAATGTGAGTGGTAAATTTGGGCCTAGATATGAGAGAATACATATATGTGGTATGTGTGCACCACATAAAACAAATCCTGCAGCAAACAGTGTATAATGAGAGAAAAAAACTGAGACCATGATTTTCGATTAAAACAGAGACTTTGCAGTGTTTTTTCATATGTTTTTTATAGTTGTATTTGCGATTTCTTGATCTCATTTGATAGAATGGAAGACATATTACAGAAATGGAGATGATTTTGATTGGTTTTAGTACTGAAAATGGCATGAAACCGAGCTCAAAGTAGCGGAAATGTTAAATTTTTGTCAATGTTCAAGAGTAAACAAACGACCTCACACGTCTAATACACACCAGCTGGTGGGTCTAATATACATTCACAAATGTGATGATGATATTTATACAATTATTACAATATTGTATAACTGTAAATCTTCTATTGTTTTGTTTGAATAAAAATTCATTATGTGAATAAAAAATCAAAATGGAATTCATTTGTAAAGCCTGAAAACATAACTAATGAGCAGAGGAAATGTTAATTTAGTGCCAGGAATGCCTACATTGTTTATTCTGGACCCTATTTTGAAACTGGAATATTGTCCAAATTACCAAATTCCGATCACTTTATTTTGTAGTTGAAACAGTTGACTTGGCGATTTCTTATGCTCATTCGATAGAATAGAAGAAAGACTAGTGAAATAGCTAAGAATTTGGTCAACTGGAATAATGTAATTGGCCTAAAATGGGAGTCAAAGTCGGCAAAATCGCTGATTCGTATATATCACTGACACATCAAAATTCGTGAGAGCATAATTTCATCAATTTTCCATCAAATTTCGTACTTTTTGTTTTATTACCTTCAGAAAAAGATTCTCTACTATTTCATTAGAAAAAATAAAAAATTTTGTTTTTGAAAATTCTTGGACACTGGTGCACCCTTTGAAATTTGGCCTCTGGACCCTGAAAGGGTTAATGTACACCAAAAATGAAACAAATCAGAGCATAAATAATGGAGTTCATTTCTCAGCAATTAGCCTTCCCTTAGCAGTATTTTTGCACGGTTTTTATGGTTGTATTCTCATTTTTTTGGTCTCATTTGATAGAATGGAAGATATATTACAGAAATAGATATGATTTTGATTGCTTTCATGACGAAAAGTACCTTGAAATTGAGTTTAGTGAGGGAGAAATGCTCGTTTGCTTGACTATGTTCAAGAGTAAACAAATGATGTCACTGTCCATTCCAATATGCAGTCATGAATGGGTTGACTTCATTTATACAATTATTGCAATAAGGCATAACAGTAAATCTTATATGAAAGATGAGGTGAATCATAGAATTGATGAGGGGAAAAGGGTGAGTGGTGCACTTAGGAGTCTGTGGAGACAAAGAACTTTGTCCTTGGATGCAAAGAGGGGAATGTATGAGAGTATAGTTTTACCAATGCTCTCATATGGGTGTGAAGCATGGGTGATGAATGTTGCAGCAAGGAGAAGGCTGGAGGCAGTGGAGATGTCATGTCTGAGGGCAATGTGTGGTGTAAATATAATGCAGAGAATTCGTAGTTTGAAAGTTAGGAGGAGGTGCGGGATTACCAAAACTGTTGTCCAGAGGGCTGAGGAAGGGTTGTTCAGGTGGTTTGGACATGTAGAGAGAATGGAGCGAAACAGAGTGGCTTCAAGAGTGTATCAGTCTGTAGTGGAAGGAAGGCGGGGTAGGGGTCGGCCTAGGAAAGGTTGGAGGGAGGGGGTAAAGGAGGTTTTGTGTGCGAGGGGCTTGGACTTCCAGCAGGCATCCGTGAGCGTGTTTGATAGGAGTGAATGGAGACAAATGGTTTTTAATACTTGACGTGCTGTTGGAGTGTGAGCAAAGTAACATTTATGAAGGGGTTCAGGGAAACCGGCAGGCCGGACTTGAGTCCTGGAGATGGGAAGTACAGTGCCTGCACTCTGAAGGAGGGGTGTTAATGCTGCAGTTTAAAAACTGTAGTGTAAAGCACCTTTCTGGCAAGACAGTGATGGAGTGATGGAGCCACTCTGCCTTGGTGGGAATCGGCCAGTGTGATAATAAAAAAAAAAAAAAAATAATAATAATAATAATAATAATAATAATAATAATAATACAGGTCCTCCATCACAAATCCGGCATCATTGGGACCTGTAGTGTGCTGGATTACTGAATTTGCTGGATTACAGAGTAGTTAGGTTAGAATACACTTAATAAAATTAACCAACTTGACTGACGCAAAAATCAAACATTTCCAGTACTTTGAGCTCAATTTCAAGGTACTTTTCGTCATGAAAGCAATCAAAATCATGTCTATTTCTGTAATATATCTTCCATTCTATCAAATGAGTCCAAAAAAATGAGAATACAACCATAAAAACCATATGAAAATATACTGCAAAGAGGTGGCTAATGGCTGAGAAGTGAACTCCTTTATTTATCATCCGTCTTTTTTATTTTTGTTGTACGTTAAGAAGCATCTTTCCATCATACATTGCCCAAGTTTCAATGAGATAGCCCAACAAACAACCGAGAAAAAAAAATATTTACCAAAAATCATATATGACAAGCCCAAGCCAGGTACTGGAAATAAGTCACTTTGTCTGACTTTTCTGGGTTATCCCAGGTTCTCTATACATACACTGCTATGTATGATAATCTATGTAACTGTATTTGTGTATACCTGATTAAACTTATTTACTTCTAGTCTGTCAACTGAGTACAAGAAACTGCCCATTCACTTATTTCAACTACCGAATAAAGTGGTCAGAAATTGGCAGTTTGGCTGATTTCACACAAATTTCAACAGATGCCAATTTCAAAATAGCGTCCAGAATAAACAATACAGACATTCCTGGCACTAAAATAACATTTTCTCTGTTCATTAGTCATGGCTACAGGCCCCTCTTATATTACTCTTGCTAACCATTTGGAATTTTTATTCACACAAAAAAATAGAAGATTCACTGTTATGCAGACTACTGCATTATTGTAATAATTGTATAAATAATGTCAACCCAGATTACATATTGGAATTTGGACAGGCAGGCGGACAGGTATTGGACGGTGACGTCATTTGTTTACTCTTGAGCTTTGCTAAAGAACAGAACATTTTCGCTACTGTGAGCGCAATTTCAAGGTACTTTTCATCATGAAAGCAATTAAAATCATATCTATTTCTGTAATATATATTTCATTCTATCAAATGAGACCGAAAAAAATGAGAATATAACCATAAAAACATACAAAAATATACAGCTAAGCGGCCGCTAATGGCTGAGAAGTGAACTCCGCTATTTATGGTCTGATTTCTTTCATTTTTGGTGTACGTTAAGAAGTATCTTTCCATCATACATTGCCCAAGTTTGAATAAGTTAACCCAACAAACAACTGAGAAAATAATGATGATAATAATAATAATAATAATAATAATAATATCTTTATTTACTAAACATACATGTCATGTACAAGGTATACAGGCCTAACATTAAAATGGTATAAAATACCGACAGGTTGTTAGGTAAGACACATATGCAACAGTTAGGTATCTTTATTTTGAAACGTTTCGCCTACACAGTAGGCTTCTTCAGTCGAGTACAGAAAAGTTGATAGAAGCAGAAGATACTTGAAGACGATGTAATCAGTCCATCACCCTTAAAGTTTTGAGGTGGTCAGTCCCTCAGTCTGGAGAGCATTGTTCCATAGAATGAAACAATATGGAGATGAAGTGACAGGATGGAGCCTATTTATAGCGCCAACAGGTGAGACGTAGGTCACTAGGAAGGTAAGAACTCAGATGTTGGGAGGTCAGGTCCCTCTCAAATCCAGCCGTTCCACTAGTAAGGTTGTAAAAGTTATTGTAGGTCTGTCCAAGATACCCTTTGTTTGCAGTGTCTGACAGGTTGAACATTAAAATGGTATAAAATACCGACAGGTTGTTAGGTAAGACACATATGCAACAGTTAGGTATCTTTATTTGGAACGTTTTGCCTACACAGTAGGCTTCTTCAGTCGAGTACAGAAAAGTTGATAGAAGCAGAAGATACTTGAAGACGATGTAATCAGTCCATCACCCTTAAAGTTTTGAGGTGGTCAGTCCCTCAGTCTGGAGAGCATTGTTCCATAGAATGAAACAATATGGAGATGAAGTGACAGGATGGAGCCTATTTATAGCGCCAACAGGTGAGACGTAGGTCACTAGGAGAGGTAAGAACTCAGATGTTGGGAGGTCAGGTCCCTCTCAGATCCAGCCGTTCTCACTAGTAGAGGTTGTAAAAGTTGATTGTAGGTCTGTACCAAGATACCCTTGTGTTGCAGTGTGGTACAGACCTACAATCAACTTTTACAACCTCTACTAGTGAGAACGGCTGGATTTGAGAGGGACCTGACCTCCCAACATCTGAG